GCAATTAGCAATGCAGATGGCCGAACTTGAGAAGTCTTGGAACTCCACATGGGCTCCGAGATGCCGACTGGACTCCAACTGGTCTCCCGGAGTCCTGGAGTCTATTATTTCTTCCTGGGGATAGCCTTACTTGTGAAATCCACATAAATTTTAAAAAATTCATTTTTATCGAACGGAGTTGGTTTTTTCGAGTTTTCGACCACAAACACGTGGTCAGGTCTTGACAATCGAGTGCTGGAAACTGCAAGTCTCTGTCTATTTCCGTTCAATATTTATTGAAAAAACAGTGATGCTCCTTATGTTTTGAAACGAATAATGTTATATTAAGGAAAGCATTGACGAGTGAAAGATGCGCAATCAATAGCTGTGCACCGTAAGTGTAAAACATTTTTTTTAACACTATGAGCGCACCCGGCTGACTGTCGTGTTATCACGTCAGTTTGAGTCATGTGTGTTGGAATATATTACTAATTATATTTGTACTGAATAGTGCAGTTTTCTTCAATAACTCACCCTCAAACAAAATCAATTATATTTTCAATTATAATCCTACAAACTCTTGAAGAAAACCGCAGCCAACAAGCTGCGCTCATATTGTTCGAATCAAGTATTACACTTATGGTGCACAGCTATTGATTGCGCATCTTTCACTCATCAATGTTTTCCTTCGTATAGGATTATTCGTTTCAAAATATAAGGAGCATCACTGTTTTTCGAATAAATGTTGAACGGAAACAGATTCTCGACTTCGGCTTTTAGTCGGAACGTTCAATAAGACTAACTTAAAATGTTTTTTAGGCTGTATTTTACAAGAAATTCGCATTGAACCCTACTTTAGAAATATTCAGTAATACTGCACAATAACTAGTTTAAAAATTAAAATTTTATTTGTTTTATGGTTATTTCTTTTCCGAATATACTGATACATCGGTATGAATCAGTATATATCAGTATATTTGAAACGTCAAAAAAACAAAAACAACTGATTCATCCATATGTATCAGTAGATTCGAAACGTCGGAAAACAAACAAAATTTTAATTTTTAAACTAATTATTTCAGTTTCATTCAATATTACTATGAGTTTTCAAAAACTCCTGCCTTTAAAGAAGGTTAACCTACTGTTAGAGTTTTTTCTCCGTTTTACACAATAATTTAACTCCGTATATAAATCCGAAAAACCCGAAAAATAATGATGAATGAGTTAGTATTACACATAAGATAGCGAGCAAAGATTCTCGGTGTGACGTGTGACAGACACAAAATCAAGTGTCGCACATCGAAACCAACGAACTCTTTCAAATGGTATAATTAGGGTTGCTTCAATATTTATATAAATACAAAAAACATGAAAAGCACTGAATGAATTAGTATTACATATATGATATTCAGCAAACATTCTCGGTGTGCTGCGTGACAGACACAAAAACCAGTATGACACATAGAACTCAACGATCTCTTTCAAGTGGTGTGCTTAGCGTTGCTTCAACATTTATATAAATCAGAAAAACTTCCAAAATAATCTATGAATTAGTATTACATAAATCATACCGAGCAAAGCTTTTCGGTGTGATGTGTGACAGGCACAAAAACCAGTGTGACATATAGAACTCAACGAGCTCTATCAAATCACATGCTTAGTGTTGCTTCAATATTTATATAAATCCAAAAGACACGAGATAGAGATCTCACCCTAATACTGAGTGTTCTCTAGGAGAGAATATTTCAAAAACTCATATTTTCCGCAAACATCCTCGGTATGACGTGTGACAGGCACAAAGACCAGTGTGACACAACGAGCTCTTTGAAGTGGTGTGCTTAGTGCTGCTTCAACATTTATATAAATCCGAAAAACATGAAAAATACTGAATGAGTGTGTGTTACATATATGATATCCAGCAAACATTCTCGGTGTGGCGTCTGACAGACATAAAATCCAGTATGACACATAGAACTCAACGTGCTCTTTCAAGTCATATGCATAGTGTTGCTACAATATTTATATAAATCAAAAAAACATGAGATAGAGATCCCACGCTAATACTGAGCGTTTTCTAGATACAGCGACATTACCGCGAACTTTTTTGTAGTACATATTTGGGTGTTTTGGGCAGTAGGTGGTGGGCGGTGGGGGTAGTGTGAGAGTGACGTCGTAAAGTACTTTCACAGAAATTTTTTTTTTGATTATTTATGAATTGTGCGTAGGTTTTTGAAGTGCTTATCTGATTTCTAGCTGCATTGTAATCTTGAATTAATTTTCAGTTTATAGAAAATCGAATTTCCAACAATCTAGAAAATCGTAATTCGACAGCGAGTTAGACGTCCGAATTCGAGGCGGCAGGACGGAACAAAACGTCAGACACGACACACAAATTGGACCTCCGACCTATTAATCCGGTTCTACACCGACATTGCACGATCTCAGAAAACATTTCAGTCATGCATGAAAAAAAATGCTTTTTGACGCATCCCTTGACCATTGAAACACGATAGTCGCCTATCTTACTACACCTAACCATTGTCATGCTCCGATTAAGAAAAAATCATCTCGATATATTTTGCGTGAGTTGAAACCAATCTGACACTCTGATTTCGGACTCCCGTGAAGAAGTCTGGTTCATCATGGATTCAAGAGCTGACGAGACACTCCTCTGAAGGTCACAACAATCGAAATAAGTATTTCTAATACTAGCGATACTTTTGGCTGCTATACGATCGATCCATGCCTTGTTGACTGAACTGCTATACGTCACGATGGACTTTTTCTCTTTCCACTCCCACAGACAATGTCTAGACTAGACTAGACTAGACACACACACGCGAAAAATATATGCTCATCTGGCGTCTGTCTATCTCTCTCTATCCCTAATATAAACACAGGCGTAGACGTTCATTTTCTTCTTATAAAATAAATCACTCACTTCTAACAAAATCCACTTAATCGATTTTCCCGTATGTAGGGGAAGATTACCTTTAACTAACGATGACTTATCATCAAGCAGTTCAGTACAACAAGACATGGATCGATCGATTAGCAGCCAAAAGTATCACTAGTATTAGAAATACTTATTTCAATTGTTGTGGCCTTTATTAGTTCGAAAAGTTCAGTGCAAACGTTTAAATTAGAAAAATAGAGAAATTAAAGTAAAGGTTTCTTGGAGATCTCCTGGAAAATCTTGATCATGTGATTCGCGAATGTCATCAAACCCCTACGTTTGTTTAGTTTTTAATTCTCTGCCCAATCACGTTTGAATCAAGTTTCCATCTTGTCTCTGAGCTGTGTTATTTTTATTGTAAAAAATGTTGACTTTTAAATAAAGTTAAAAATTGAAAGTTTGACTTGAAAACTTAATTTTTTTCTCAAAATATTCGTGTTTCAACGCTGAATTCAAATATGATCTTAAAATGTTCCATCCCTTAACGGTGATTTTTAAAAATCGTTTCACTCAAGTGCATGAAACATGTACAGACAAAACAAACGCCGTAATAGACACGGAAACAATATGCACTTAAGGTGAAAAAATATCGATATTCCAACAGCACAAAACAGGCGTCTTGCACAAGAAAGTTGGTCTAGGCTAACTTCTACGTCAGTGCATATAGTCTTCTGAAATTCCGGATGTAGAGGTTTCACGATGTCCTCTTTCTTTTTGCCTCTACAAAGTTTACTCTAAAACTTTCGGAAGTAGGACTTGCAGAAAACCGTGTTTTGGGCATATATTAGTTGAACGAAATGACTTTTAAAAATCACCGTTAAGAGATAAAACATTTTGTAGATGATATTTGGATTCAGCGTTGAAAGACGAATATTTTGAAAAAAAATTAAGTTTCCCAGTCAAACTTTCACTTTCTAACTTTAATTTAAAATTAAAAAATTCAACTTTTTTTAAAATTGAAATAACTCAGCTCAGAACAGAGTAGGAGGCCTCTACGCGGCAGAAGCTAAGCAACGGTCTGTCTGACAGGCGTTATCAAGCGAGACCGGTCAACAATCTTACCAAATCATTACAATGATGAACCTATTAGGCTTCATTTCATATAGTTTACATGCTGCCGTGTGTTCGAATAAAAAAGAAAGGAAAAAGATAACGAAAGAGTGTTTTCATTCACCCGAAAGATTTGGCTTTGGAACAAGAAGTGTAGAAAATTGAATTTTAAACGTTTTTTTGCAAAATCCATCTCATAAACAGACTTTCGTGCCGAGATACAGCCCAATTACTGATTTTTCAGATGTAAATTTTAGATTCTTCATCATATTTAAATTACAAATGCGCAGATTTTTTATGTTCACCGGTTTTTACCAGTTTCAGTTTCGACCAGCTTTGGCTCCCGATGCACCGAGACGATAGATCGGATCCCGATAAAATCGGTGATCGATATTATCGGACGATAGTTTTAATACGTGAATTATCGATATTGGCGCATGCCTAGAAATAACTGCTGGGTACAGTCTCTCCGAGTATGTCATATTTTGAAGACTGAGTGCCTTTTCCATTGATCTATTACTGTCTCATATCTTTCATTGTCAATCGAATGCTCAAAATTGGATTGAACAGCTTCGAAAACTAGAGTCAACACAATAGGCGTTCTAAGAAAGCAACGTTACACGGTCAATAACGAAGAAGTTATACTAAAACCTGACAGTATGCAAACAATTGTTTATGATCACAACTCAAAACTATCACACGGTACAAAAATTTCGGTTAATAATATCAAAACACCATATGCATCGACATCTGTCAAAGTAGTTAACGAAGATTGTCTTTTCCGAAATTAGTTTCGGAAGGACGTCGACCTTTATTACTAAATATGGCCAAGCATGCTAGTCCTGGAGGAGGTTATAGAAAAGGTGGTGGAGCACAGAAAGAAAATGTTTTTCGTCGCTCAAATTAATACAGAAGTTTTGATGCAGAAATAACTGATAAGGATCGATCAGAACGACTACATTGCAATGATAGATGTGAGCTCAAACAAATGTCAAAAAGTGATAGTTTCTATCCGATGGATGATTTCGGAGCGATTTACTCAACTGGTATTGTGGTGTTTCGGCAAATAGAAGCCAATGGTCATGCGTACATGAAAGCTTCATTATATAATGTTTGTGCTATCGTCATGGCTGCTCATCGAGACCCTAAGTTAAAAAATAACAGAACATTAGAAAACAAATTTGCTGTTAATACACGAAAAAAAGGTTGAAAACATTTTTGCAATTGCACATTATCATAAACATGATTGCCTCGTTTTATCGGCTCTCGGTTGTGGTGCTTTTAAGAATCCACCTGGTCATATCGCTTCTATTTTTAAATCTGTTATCTTACAACAAGTGGAATTTTTTAATATTATTTATTTTGCTACTGTTGATGATCATAATTCAGGCAATAAAATTAATCCACAAGGAAATTTTCTTCCATTCAAAGAATTACTCGATGGTCTGTACCATCACCAACAATTTTACGTATTAATGCAGCTATTGGACCAAATCGTGTTCTTGATAAACCAGCCGATGAACAATTAACTTTAAGTGATGTTTGCATTTTGGATTTTCCACCATGCAATCATGGTGCCAAGTGTCGTGATTATCGGAAGCCTGGACATAAGGCTCAGTTTTCACATCCACCGGTGTGTCCACTTTTAAATGCAACTTCATCTTGTGAACAATTAGATGATGACGTCCATGCATTTACATTTATACATAATACTAAATGCAAGTTCGGTGGTAAATGTAATGATACTGATCCAATACATTTGTTAGATTTTGATCATCCAGAATTTTGTGAATACGGAGGTGATTGTACAAATATCAGCCAAAAACATTTAGTTGCATATCAACATCTACCTAATTGTCCAGATGGTTCTAAGTGTTCAAAATATCGGAGAAGATATCCTAATCATTTAAAATCCTTTCGTCATTGCAAATCTGTTTGTCTCTATGATAATTGTTGTGTTAATTTTCATGATAAAGAACATTTTGCTAATACAATACACTCATTTCGTCCACCATGTCCATTAACACCATACAATGGTTCAAAGTAAATTGAATTTGTTCAGACGAACAATGCAAAAGGAATTTCTTCACAAGCAGAAGATCATTGTCTTGAATATTCGCATGTTTGTCCTTATGGTCGCCGTTGCAGAACTACCGAAGAAAACCATTTGATATTGCTCGTCAGCTGTGTCCTGATGGTAGTAGATGTTCAAAACTTACTCAAGAGGATCATTTAGAATGCTATACTCATTCTGATATACGAGATATTCGTCTATTATGCAAAATACCAGGTTTCAAGTGTTTGAATAGATTTAATGACCAAAATTTCAAAAAATATCGACATAATAAAAAGTATGATCATTTTAGTGTACCTCCGTCTAGTAATCTTAATACATCTATCAATTTCGCTCGTAATCAAAGTCAATTGATCGGAACCGTACACAACTACATTGACAAATCGAATTGGGATAAAGCAAAGATTTCTCCAGAAATATTTAATTGGATACGAGCATTACAACCTGTACACCGATGGTCGAAAACAGGTTTTTGAATCGATTCTTGTTCTAGGACATGTTATGAGTCGTCGTTTTATGAATTTATTAAAAAACCAGAAAGTGTGGTCAGAGCGGTGCAACAACATAGTCGAGTACGTTTGATATTTCTCCATCATAATACTCCGATCGTCAAAGATAATGTCTGTAAACTCATTCAAATATTGGTTGAAGCTGAATTTACAAAAGCAAAATCAGATGGAAAAACCCCATTAGATTCGGAGCATGATTATAATAGACTTCAAAGGATCGAGCAAAAAATACAACCACCTCTTAATAATAAAGAGATTCAAGTTATTCATGAATGGGCAGTTAAAATTGCTCAAGCATCGATTAAATTGAATGCTACTCCTATGGGAATCGGATATGATGTTGATGAAAAATTAGGAACAGATCAACATGTGTTTAGTATACTGGGACCACACCTTGGTCATTATTGTAGCGATATTGTCATTACTTTTAAGCAAGAAATCATGTTTCATCCTGGTGCCAATCCATCCAAGCTGGAACTAGTTTTCACAGCAAAAGTACTTATACACTTCATCCATGGATGAAAGATCCAGGATCTTGTTTACATACCAAAGAATGTCTGTGAGTCCTTTCACCTGAAGCTCAACAATCAGCTAAAGGAGCATTTAAAGATCCACTTATGACTAGTATCTATGAAAGTGATGAGATCAAATCAGGCATCACGTTGAAAGATATTCTTGGTTACACTTATCCAAAATATGTGTTTGAACAACTCTGTGAAGCCATCAAAGATCGAATGAACACACAAAATATCTCTCGAGGTATAGTCATTACAGTTGCTGCTTCCGAATTTCAAGAACATATTTTTTTACCAATCACCATTTCGCAGGCATATGATTTATATTATTTTGACAAACCGCAATCAAAAGATGGTTACGAATTCTCTTATATTTATTGGCAAGCAATGAATGGTGAGTTTGACAGGCTAAAACAGAAGGTAATTCATTCCAATCTTTTGAGGTTCGCGGAAGAAAAGAGCTAGATGCAGATTTTGACATTAAACGAAGAACAAAGACGCGACTATCATGGCCTAATCGAGAACTTTGACGCGTTGTGGACCGTGAAATCGGATCAAAAGAGAGAACTTTTATGATAGAAAATTTTATAGAAATAGAGAAGGCGATAATATAGACGTCTGTTTGAAAGTGATTGAATTTTAAATTGTTTGAGCAGAGAAGAAGAAGAACTACTAAAATCTTGTGAAATGACCCTACTAGCAAGACGCTGAACTTTATCCAAAATTTCAAGATGAGAAGTAAAAGTGGAATCGTAGATAACACAACCGTATTCAAGCGCGGTTCTTACACAAGTTTTATACAGATGACAACGAAGAAATGAGGGCGAGTCACGAAAGACTCTTGAGATAGAGCCTAACATTTGACGAGATTTCATTGACACATATTCAATGTGAGCCTTCCACGTTAAATTATATGAAATAATCATGCCAAGAAGTTTAAGAGACAAAACTCTTTCTATATCAACATTGTTTTTTGAAAGAGTGAGTTAAGGAAGCATTTTACTAGAGTTTGAAAATAAAATCCAGAGACATTTGTTTATGTTTAACTTGACGTCATTAATATCACACCAGAGCTCATTGATACATTTTTGAGCCTCGAAAATGTTTGTAACACAGAAGACATCATCAGCAAAAAGACAAGAAAGAAGAGAAGATTTGAGAGATGGCGCAAGATCATTTATAAATATGAGAAATAAAATCGGGCCAAGGATACTGCCCTGAGGAACTCCAGACGACACTCGAACAGAAGAAGAAAAAACAGAGCCCACAGAAACTTTTTATGTACGATTTGAAAGATAAGAAGCGAACCATTTCAAAAGATTTCCGCCTTTTCCTGCTTTAGCCAGTTTTTGTAGTAGAATATGATGTGGTACAGTGTCGAACGCCTTTTCAAATCAAATGATATGCCAATTCATTTGCACCTTTTTTCTAGATGCTGGTAAACCTTTTGAGTGAGAAGAAGAAGCGCATCTACGGTAGAAGTACTTGGACGAAATCCAACCTGAGTTGGGTTAAAAAAGTTTTTTGTGCATAGAAACGAGTATAAATACTTGTAGATTAGTTTCTCGAACGCTTTACTAACATTAGATAATAGTGAAACAGGACGATAGTTTTTGACGAATAACTTGCTTTCTTTCTTATGTATGGCACGTATAAGAGCTTCTTTCCAGGGAAGAAAAAACACACCGGTCGAAAGAGAAAGAGAGAAGATGTGATATAACTGAGGAGAAATTACATCAGCACTAAGCTTTATAAGTTTGATAGGAATTTGATCGGTGCCTAAAGAAGTTTTATTTTTTAAACTACTTATAGCTTTAAACACATCAGAAACATTAAATTTAATTTCAGATAGAGACTGAGAAGATAAAGGAAGTTGAGAATTATTCGTGGTAAGTGAAGAGAGTTGTGAAAAACTAGTTTGAAAGAAAGTAGATAATAACTCGGCTTTAGAAGAATCATCACTAGCTGTAGCAGAATTATATTGCATAGAAGATGGTAAGTCTGCAACTGGATCACGATACTTTTTTATGACTGACCAAAACCTTTTACTATTTGAAAAGTCTTTTATAATACTTTTAAATAAATGTTTTTTGTCGTTACGAATTGAACTGATAGCGAGATTCCGAACTTTTTTATATATGTCAAACAAACGAGATGAATGTTGTTTTGATTTTGATTTTTTAAAAGCAGCATTTCTTTTCTGTAGAAGATAATGAGTACGCTGAAAAAAACGGAGAGTTCTTACTTTAACAATAGGAATATTTTTGATAGGAACACACTGTTGAACGATTGTCATAAAATGATGTTGCCACAAGGCAAGTGCGTGATTAGTATCGTTGCTTGAAAATAAGCTCTAAACTTGTTTCTTTCTTGTTTACTTCTGCATTAGAAAACTGGACACTTTTTTCACGATGAAAAATCATGTCTTTTTCCCGTGGAAGTAGTATTCTTACTATATTATTTTATCTCATAAACAGTATTAGTCCTTAGAAAATAAGCTACTTGTGTAAATTCTAATTTTGAAGTGTATTAGTATATTTACATAAACTTAATCGTGTCAATAAGAAACACTTTGCTTTCCATATTGTCTATATTGTGAAATCAATTGGTGCTAAAGTTCGATCTATCACAAATACGAAAGACTTGATTAAACAATTATCTAGAATTAATTAATGATAATGCATGGAAAGCGCTTGGGTGTTAGCCAGTCGTAATTTCAAGCAATTGATACTGATGCGTAACCTATTTAAATCATCGTCTCCGCCACATGATAGTCTTCCACTAGTCATCTACACTATTCACATGTCATCCACTCTTCGATCATCATCAGCACTACCACCACCTTCTCCTCTATCTCTCCCACTCAGTTCGTTTCGTACCTTCCAGCGATCTTCGCCTCCATGAGAAGTATATGGACCAAATAACCACTTCAGGAAATTCTTCGACCGTCATACGCACACATACCACATGCCACCAAACTAGAAATCCCCCAAACCAAACATCATTATAAGGTATTCTTGATAGACATCACTCTCATCAACTCAACATATTGATTAAGTTGTGCGTTTACAGCACAACTTCCAGCGTACGGTTATTCCTTTCCAAGTCGGCCAGATGTTGTGCTCCAGAAGCTCCGATTTGATTGCTGGAGAGGTTCAGTATAGTGAGTGTCTGTGTCAAATAAGAAACACCAATATAAAACAGATGAATCGAGAATTTGTCTCACCGTGTTATTTCGTAATGCATCAGCCAGATGTTGTGCTCCGGCAGCTCCGATTTGATTGCTGCAGAGGTTGAGTATGGTGAGTGTCTGTGTCAAATAAGAAACACCAATATAAAACAGATGAATCGAGAATTTGTCTCACCGTGTTCTTTCGCAATGCATCAGCCAGATGTTGTACCCCTTTGTCTCCGATTTGATTGTAGCAGAGGTTGAGTGTAGTGAGTGTCTGTGTCAAATAAGAAACACCAATATGAGACAGATGAATCGAGAATTTGTCTCACCCTGTTATTTCGTAATGCATCAGCCAGATGTTGTGCCCCTTTGTCTCCGCTTTGATTGTAGCAGAGGTTGAGTGTAGTGAGTGTCTGTGTCAAATAAGAAACACCAATATGAGACAGATGAACCGAGAATTTGTCTCACCGTGTTATTTCGTAATGCATCAGCCAGATGTTGTGCTCCAGCAGCTCCGATTTCATTGTTGGAGAGGGTGAGTGTTGTGAGTGTCTGTGTCAAATAAGAAACACCAATATGAGAGAGATGAACCGAGAATTTGTCTCACCGTGTTATTTCGTAATGCATCAGCCAGATCTTGTGCCCTTTGTCTCCCATTTGATTCCTGGAGAGGTCGAGTGTAGTGAGTGTCTGTGTCAAATAAGAAACACCTATATGAGTCAGATGAATCGAGAATTTGTCTCACCGTGTTATTTCGTAATGCATCAGCCAGATCTTGTGCTCCAGCAGCTTCGATTCGATTCCACCCCAGGTCGAGTGTAGTGAGTGTCTGTGTCAAATAAGAAACACCAATATGAGACAGATGAACCGAGAATTTGTCTCACCGTGTTATTTCGTAATGCATCAGCCAGATGTTGTGC